GCCCCCCCCCCCCCCCAACCCAATAGCCCAAGGGTCCAATTCTGACTGCACACTAGAATCCCCTGAAGAACTTTTAAAGAAACCAGTGCCTGTGGCCATTCCAGACCAATTAAATCAGTATACCTGGGGCAGGAGCCAGACACTGATACATTTAAAAAGCCCTCAAGAGAATTCTAATATGCGGCCAGGATTGGGAACCATTGAGAATCCCCTCTACAGAGTACCCAATTGGTTGTAGTCTTGAAAATCTCCAGTGGTAAGACCCCTATTGCTTCCCCCAAAAGATAATGTTGTTCTATAAGAGTATTTCCTTAAAAGGAGGCAACATCTGTCTGTGAAATTTCTATCACTGGGCCTTGTTCTGCTTTCTGAAGATACGTATAACAAGGTGAAACCTTTTTCTCCGTGGCCTTGTAAAGTGTTCCCATTGTCAGGGTAAGAGGCCTATTTCCTCAATTTGCTTCTATGATGTCAACTGAGCTCCTCTTCTCCCCGTGGGTCTGTACTTTTTTCTAAGTGTGCAACAAACACTGTGTTCTAGATGAGACCCTGCTAGCTTGGGACAGAACCAGCTTAGTGGTAACAATGTTCATTTCAGACACTATATATCTAGGGATTCAACCACAAGTGGGGTTAGTTTTTGTTGTAGCCACATCACACTACTGATAGAACAATCACAATTGTGTTTCTGCTGATGCAGCTGAAGCCCTTTCTGTATGTGCACAGTTCATTTGAATATCCACGTGCATATCTTCACATATATTTCTACTATATTCTCTCTTTCATTCAACAATATTTATCGTGCTAAGCACTTGGCATGAGAGGCAAACAAAACTGACTTGGTTCTCAACCCAAATGGAGTTTAAAATCCAGCACAGAAGGAAAACACCCAAGTAACTGTTACAGGTGAGTTATTTAAGTCATTTCAGCTACCTGAGCTCTCAGAGCCATATTTATTTCTTGTGCCTCAATTCCCTTTCACTAGCTGACAGGCTGTATTTCTACCTGAACCTCTGAGAGTTCCCTGTCACCATACAACCCAGGTTCCTATGCAGCCACCCTCTCTGTCTTCCTGGAAATGCAAATTGTTATTATCGGTTTCATTTCTGGCAGACTGCCATTCTCTCTAGATTATACTTTCCTTTCAGAATTTCAGATCACAAGAAACACAGCTGAATGTTTCTATAAATTTTGTGAAATCTACCTCCCTGCAGTTGACACACGTGACAGACTAGACTCAGTCTTCTTCCCTGTCTTTCCTTCTCCCTTCACTGTCCTGGTCTTTGGAGACAGACTGTATCAGGGATTACATCATTTCCTCTCCATCAGCCAGTTCCTCTTCCTTGGGATCAACACCCTAACCTTCACAAAACTTTAAACCTGAATGTTATCCTCTACCAAAACAGTTTCTTCTTGATCAAATTATAGAGTTTTTTTTTTTTTTTTAAGTTAGATTGGGGACCAGCACTTGATGTCATGGCTATGTTGCTGGACTCCCATGTAGTTGACCACGGTTCAAGTCCCAGACCTGGTGGCTTAAACTCACGCCAGGGCACATGTGCGTGTGTACACAAAACCCAGAGAAGAAAATGGAGTAGAAGGGATTGTGGCATAGCCATCCCCCTTGGGGGGTGATTTCTCACTTTCTGTCTCTCTGTCTCTCTCTGTCTTTCTGGCAAGCACATGCACCCTACAGCAAAAACCTCTCAAAAAAAAAAACTAGATTAAAAAAAATATGGATATATCTGTATATAATATGGCATCAGGAAATGAATTAGTGTATTTCAAGACCACTTTACATTATAGCATCCAGGGTTAGAATGTACACTCCTACAAAAATGTTGAGAGCAGGGTCTGTATCTTATTCAGCTTCATTTTTCAAGTGTGAAATATTTACTAAAATGAGATTAATCACAAGTGTTTTTGAAGCTTTTAACTTATCTTTTTTAGGTTTTTGTCACAGAGTGCATGTACTCACTGGAGAAACAGAGGCAGAGAGAGAGAAAGAGAGAGTGAGAGAGAGAAGGGGTAAGTGAGACCCTGCAGGGGGGACAGCCATGCCACAAACAATCCTTTCTTCTTCTTCTTCTTTTCTTTTTTTTTTTGGGAGTTTTTATCTGAGGGCTTGTGCACTCCTGAGGGGGTAGAGAGAGGATCATAAGAGGGAAAGTGAGAAATCATCCCTTGGGTTTGGCCATGCTGCAATTCCTTCTCCTCTATTCTCCTGGAATCTGGGGCATGCACACACATGCACCCAGCTTGATTTTCAAACCACTAGGACTGGGACTTGAACTGCAGTTGACCATGTGGGAGTCCAGCAACGTAACTGCTCCACCATCTGCTGGCCCTTAATCACTTCTCCTTAATTCTCCTCTTGGGAGTTTCGGCATGCATGCACACGGGCCTGGTGTATTTATCCAGCCACCAGGTCAAGACTTGAACTATGCAGTCAGCCATGTGGGATTTAGCACCTTAACCACTATGCCACCTGCTGCCCCTTTTAACTTTTATTGAGCACTTGTTATATGACAGGATTAAGTTCTTCATATGAATTTTCATTCTTTTTTTTTTTTTTTTTTTTTGCTATAGGGCACATATACTCACCAGAAAGACAGAGAGAGACAGAAAGCGAGAAATCACCCCCTAGAGGGGATGGCCACACTGTAATCCCTTCTCCTCCATTTTCCTCTTGGGATCTTGGGCACACATGCACACACGCCCAGCATGAGTTTAAGCCACCAGGTCCAGGACCCGAACCGTGGTCAACTACATGGGAGTCCAGCAACATGGCTATTACACCAAGTGCTGGTCCCGAATTTTCATTCTTACAAGAGAAAACTGAGACTTAGAAAAGACTGTCATTTGCCTTTGATCACATAATAAATTAAGGTATGATATTGAAAGCCTTGCTCTGGACATCCAAACATGATGCCTGCTGAAAGGCTGCTGTTTGTGGCGAAACAGGCCAGCCACTGTAGGAAAGGCATGTGATGAGACCTCCTGGAGCCCTCTCCTGACTTCTAGCTCTTTAAGGTGAGCTCCCTGACAGAACTCTTCACCGGAAAGGGTCAATAACGGGTAGCATTGCAAACATTGTCTGCCACCACAAATGACAAGTGGAATTCACATGCGATCTCTTAGAAGGTTGTAATTAAGAGTCCTAATTACCTAAACCAGGGCATATTTAAGCTTCAGCCAGTTACTTCTTTTAAAAATTATTTATTTATTTATTTATTTATTTATTTTTACATGAGTTTTGCCAGAGAAAGACAGACAGAGAGAGAGAGAAAGCTGTCAGCTCCAGGACTCAAACCGTGGTAGACGATGTGGGAATTCCAGCGCCTTAACCACCATGCCACCCAGACTACACCTCTTGTTTCCCATCTACATTATCACTCTATGCTGCTGGGTCAGGGGTAGTTAACTGGTAGGGGCCACCTGACTTGGTTTAGTTTGGCTACTTTCTTCTCCTGCGCAATGTTATAAGAACCTCTGTGACTGGGCAGGTCCTAGCTCACCTGGCCTATTATGTTAATTGCATGCCCTTCTTTTTTTTATTTTTTGGAGAGGTTTTTGCTATAGAGTGTGTATGCTCACTGGAGATAGAGAGAAATGGAGAGAAAGTGAGAAATCACCCCCGTGAGGAGGAGGGCCATACTGCAATCTCTTCTCCATTTTCTTCTTGGGATTTTGGGCATGCACATACACTCACCCAGTGTGAGGTTCAAGCCACCAGCTCTGGCACTTAAACTGCGGTTGGCACGTGTGGTTGGCACCTTAACCACTATGTCACCTGCTGGCCCTTCTAGGCAAATGACTTTAATATCCCTATGTTGGCCCTAGGTTGAAAAGAAATTTAGGACCCTCTCCCCAGTTCCCACCATGTAATAATGTTTCCACCATGGAATAAGAGATCGCCACAGCTTATCCATCACATGCCACGTACAAATGAATGAATGACACATATGAGGGAAAGGGTCAAGGCAGGAAGTGGTTCTGAAGCTGGGCAGAGCCATCAGTGGACCCAGCTCACTCATGGCTATAAGAACCTTTAGGGGGACCAGCAGTTGGCATAATGGCTATGCTGCTGTACTCCCATGTAGTTGACCACGGTTCGAGTCCTGGACCCGGTGGCTTAAACTCACGCCAGGTGCTTGTGCGTGCGTGCCCAAGATCCCGAGAGGAGAAAGGAGGAGAAGGAATTGCGGCGTGGCCATCCCCCTGAGGGGGTGATTTCTCCCTTTCTGTCTCTCTCTGTCTTTCTGGTGAGTGCATGTGCCCTATAGCAAAAATCTCTAAAAAAAAAAAAAAAAAAAAAAAAATGGGAACCTTTAGGGAAACTGTTCATCTTTCAAAAATATGAGCTTTTGTTTCTCTTCACCTCCATCTCTGTTCCTATAACGACCTCCCTGAGGAAAAATGATCTCATAGTTCAGCTATTTATTTTAACTTATTAAATGACACAAACCTTGCACATATGTCACAGCATAGGAGAGACATATTAGGTGTCTTCAAAACGTTCATGGAGATGCATATTAGGGAAAAACTATGCAGGGATTTCAAGATTTTTTACACTGAAATAAACTCACGCTTTAATTTCATTTTCCATGAACTTTATAAATTGCTTCCCCGCCCCCATGGTGTAGATATTCAAATGGTTCAAGGTAAGAGAAAAGTAAAGTTTCTGGTAATGTCTGAAAACAAATAATTTATTGTTTACACTTTGAGTTAAAAGTAACTGTTACTAAGCTAGGAAGTGACTCAGTGTTTGGCATTTTGTTGTAGGAAAAAAATCTGAAGACATAAAGAACTACACACAAGGAACATGTCACTTGGCACCTTCACTTTTTGATCCTCACACACCGTGACCATGACGACTACTTCAATCAGCAGCTGGCCTTGCTCCTCCCACGGAATGCGCTTTATAACTAATCACGGCGACCAATCACCCAAAAATCTCTCAGAAGCATCAAATGTAACCTGCTTCATAGATGACAAATTACTATCCACTGTGTTAGCAACATTCTATTCTGTTATTTTCATCATCGGACTGGTTGGGAACATAATCGCCCTCTACGTATTTCTGGGAATTCACCGCAAAAGAAATTCCATTCAAATCTATCTGCTGAATGTAGCCATTGCAGACCTTCTACTCATCTTCTGTCTTCCTTTCCGAATAATGTATCATATTAACCAAAACACATGGACACTAGGTGTAATTCTTTGCAAGATTGTGGGAACGCTATTTTATATGAACATGTATATTAGCATTATTTTGCTTGGATTCATCAGCTTGGATCGCTACATAAAGATTAACCGGTCAATACAACAACGGAAGGCAATTACAACCAAACAAAGTATTTATGTTTGCTGTACAGTATGGACAGTTGCTCTTGCTGGATTTTTAACTTTGATTATTTTAACGCCTAAGAAAGGAGACCATAATTCCACAATGTGTTTCCATTATAGAGATAAGAAGGATGCAAAAGGAGAAGCAATTTTCAACTATGTTCTTGTGGTAATGTTCTGGCTAATTTTCCTACTAATAATCCTTTCATATATTAAGATCGGCAAGAACCTACTGAGGATTTCTAAAAGGAGGTCAAAATTTCCTAATTCTGGTAAATATGCCACTACAGCCCGGAATTCCTTTATCGTACTTATCATTTTTACTATCTGTTTTGTTCCCTATCATGCCTTTCGATTCATCTACATTTCTTCACAGCTACATCCACCACCGTGCTACTGGAAGGACATTGTTCACAAAACCAACGAGATCATGCTGGTTCTCTCATCTTTCAACAGTTGCTTAGATCCTGTCATGTATTTCCTGATGTCCAGTAACATTCGCAAAATAATGTGCCAACTTCTTTTCAGACGATTTCAAGGCGAATCAAGCAGGAGTGAAAGCACTTCAGAATTTAAGCCAGGATACTCCCTGCATGAGACATCTGCAACAACTAAAATGCAGACTAGTTCTAAAGACACTTGAGGTAAACATTCCAGAAAGACTGATACAACCCAGCCTCTTAACTCCTTGAAGAACTAAAAACTTACGAAACAAAGCTCTAGTATTCACAAAACTGAGATCTTCTCAAAGCTCTGTATTTGTGACGATTTCATTTGCTTAATTGTAGACTATTTCAAGGCAAAGAAAAGCGTATACTCATCACTAGATTTTAAATCTGTATGTAAAATCTTTTCAAAATACATTAAGCTAACACTCTTAGATTATAAAGTTAAGTGAGATTCATGAATTTAAAAACAAAATAATTAAAGGAAGTGAGATAGTTTTTCAAGTCACTAACATACTTATTAAAATCAAGCACTTGATTCTAATTTAAAGTATGTTTAAAAGTAAGAAAGATGATTGGGGACTGACTTAAAATGTCAGAAAATATATGTTCATTTGGTATTTAAGAAGCTTGTATGATTTGCCACTATACTAAATTATGGCTAAGCCTCAATAACAGATAAAATGATAATTAATAAAATTCCAATAATATCTCTCACTAGCTATCCTTGCTTATATAAAAATGGAATTTAAATACTGTATCATAAAAATCAAACGAGTAAGTTAAGAATTCATAGCCTAGAAAGGACTTAAAACCATACCTTACTTAAAATAGATTATGAATGATTCAGCCATCTCAGCTACACTTTGATAAGAGTAAAACTAAAGATGTGCACGTCCTATGAGCCAGCGAGTCTCTTACAAGGCAAAGTGTGTGTGTGTGTGTGTGTGTGTGTGTATCTTACACAATCACCCAAATATGTACACAAAAAACATATGAAGTGATGCTCAATCAACTATTGTTCATAATTCTAAACAGTTGGAAACAACTTAAGCATGTGACAGCAAAGGCATGGAGAACTGTGGTTTATTGACAAAATGAACTACACCCACATGCATCAACACGGGGAAATTGCAAAAATAATGTTGAGTAAAAAAACTCCAAAAATCTACACGAAATTGCAAAAGGACATATACAACATGAAATCATGTATATATAATGTGGACACCCATAAAGCTAAATACCATGCTTCGTATGGATCTATACCTATACAATAAAAATACAAAAACATGCATGTAATATATACAACGGGCATTCCAACTTAAAGCTAATGGTTATATCTAGAGAGATGAGAAGCAATCATGGCAAAGTGTTAATGTCTATTATATCTTGGTGGTAGGTACACAGGTAGTTGTTATATTATCTTTGGTAAACGTTTGGGGGGTTCAAATATTTCATAACAATAAAGAAAACCTGTAGATTAGAATGAAAAGACAACTCTAAAATTTTCACGTATGTTCAAAAATAACTGGACAGTAAACTCTAAGAGAGCTTTATCTTCATTTAGTCCCTGGGCTTAGTGTGTTACTTGGCACAATACTGATACATATTTGTCCAATAACTGAATAAATGAATGAATTGAAAAATGGATGTGAGAGAGAGACAGTGAAAAGGAAGGGGTGCTTTAAAAAATGGAATATTCTTAGGTTTTTCTTTTAGTCATTCTATCTGGGTATAGCTATATAGAACATTAAACATTTGCAATCTGGGGGACAGGGAGGGTGTCATTAAGCAAACATTCTTGAAAGTTTGCTTAGCACTTTCCCGGTTCTTTGGTCATACAGAGAACCAGAATGTTGTTAATTAATTATACAAACGACAAACTCCAAGGATCCATTCCTAAGTTTCTATAGTATAAGAAACAGTGTAAGAATTTTTAAAAAAATAATCAGAGTATTCCTTAAAGCTTATAGTAGGCAATTGCTATTGTTGGAATAAATGGTAAAGAAGATGAAGATTTTTTGTTAGAGCTGAATTTATTTTAATAATATTTGGTGCTCATGTAACCATATTTCAACAAGCACACACAAGTGGTTGAATCAAAGCAAAAGTATATTTAAAATATATGTAACATTTAGGATAAAAGCTGAAATTTATAGAAAATTAGAGCTTCATGAAAAATATTACATTAATTATTTTGTCCCTACAATGTTAACAAATACCATCTAAATGAAATTCAGCATTTTTATTTGTATGATTTTAAATTATAAAATTATTAATTTCCCTTCATGTCCTGGTAAACATTTTCTATCCCTCCCCATCTCTACTGCAAAAATAGTTCGAACAGTTATAGTACTTCTTATTAGTTTTAAAGAACAGTTGTAGAAGCTATTGCATTTTTTTATTAAATAGGATGATCCCTATAAAGTTCTGCACAATGGCGTTCTTAAATTTTTTAAAAGTCTACTGAATTAATTCATGCTATAATATTATTTACAGTAAAATGAATTTTGATAAAAGTCAATCTTCTATACTCTCATAACAGATTATTTAGTGATAGAAATTTCTAACCTGAATTCTGAAAATGTTTCTAAATTTATAGAAAAATATGCTACTACTTACCAATTTAAAGCTATTCATTATATATAATCTTTTATTTCTTACTGAGCATTAGTGTATGCAAGCAGGAAACACTGTTCCTACCTCCTCTAACCCAGGGTTTAGTTCTAGAAGCACACAGAAAAAGGAAATTCAAAAGTATATATGTAGCCTCACCTTGCAAAAGACCTTCAGAAAAGTTTCTAAACAACATCTCACATGTGCAAACCCAAACAAGGGCAAAATGAACTGCCTGGGTGCCAGAGAGAGAGAGAGAGAGAGAGAGAGAGAGAGAGACTTCAATGCTGAATATTCTGTTGGTTTTTAGAAAAGTACTTTGAGCAAAACCAGGTTTAATCTTGAATTTCTAAGATCAGGTCAGTAGAAAAAATTCACATGATGGGAAAAATCATTTGGTAGGCTGCAATGCAGAGACTGAATGTAAAAAAGAAATGAATTAATTAAAACAAAAAGCAACCCCTTTAAAAAACTTTGAAAAAAAGAAGAAAAAGATCATTTTCTTCTAACACTGAAGGTTTAATTTTCAGTTTCTTAAAGTGAATTCTGCACTCCTGCTGATACTAAAGTATAACTAATATAATTACAACTATTTGAACCAAAGTCTTACTGAAAGTTATCCACAAGAGTAAACAGCATGAAATAAGAGTTCTCTCAACAGTCAAGCTGGATGCTGTAGAAAGATGTTAATGGGCTAATTATTTTTCAGGCTTTGGAAATATAATGGAAACTTACTTTACCAGATACTGCACTATATTCCTATCCTTCCACAAGGAAAAGGCTGGGGTGCAGATGCAACAACATACGCATCAGGGGAACAGAATACACATTGCTAAGTAGACCCCGGATGATATGTGAAGAGTATACAACACATTAGTGGCTCTCAAAGGGGTTGGGGTAAGAACAAAGACCTAAGATTCTGTCAGGCAAGATGTGTTAGGAACTTGCATAGATAGGGTTAAAGCTATTTTTGAAAAGGATTCCAGGTGACTCTGATATACTCTCTTCCCTCGGAGAGAGAATCTCTGCAAATAAAGGAAGGAACACAAAAAGGATTAGGGAAGGAAGGAATGGATTAAAAAAGAGTGCTGTGCCTATTTAAAAAAAAAACCCAATTACAGCTTCACCTTGTATCTCATCAAAAAAAATTACACGTGGATTAAAGAACTAAATCTAAAATAATGAGACCATTAAAAGATTCAAAACTACGTCAGTGACTAACTCATCTGATGAGAAAGAACTTTCTATTAATAAATTGATAGCAGTAACTATAGGAAAAGTTCATAGATTTGACTAAAAAGTTTAGATTCAAAGATTTTTCTTTGTCAGAAACCAAAGAAATAAAAGCAAAAGCACGAAGCGGGAAAAATACTCATAACAGGTCTGAAATTTACTGGAGAGCCTTGTGTGTCAAGTACCAACACTATACCCTTGTAAAGAAACTCGTATTTTTTTTTTAAAAAAGTTTATTCACATATTTGTCCTAAGAGAGACAGAAAGACTGGGGTTGGGGGGTAGGAGAGCATATGTGTGCGTGCTAGAGAGACACAGTCAGCTCCAACAGGGTCACCACACCATTATGTCCCCCCAGTCTCAGCCTGCCCAGGTCATAGACGTGTGCTTGCCCAGGGTGCTTGGAGAGGTCCCAGGACATGAACTCAGGGCCTCACCCATGTGGTCAAGTTGCACAATGACTGTGCTACCATCTGGCCCAAGACGCTTTCTTTTGATTGGAAGAAAACATTTAAAAACGCAAAATATACTCTGAATTGTGTCCACTCAGAGGAGAGAGAAACTACAGCACACTCTCAACTGAATTAAACACAGCTACATGGTCCAGTAGAGGGGCTGCTGAAGACCTCAGTTCAGTCTGGTTTTCAGGCGAAGACCCGAGAGCTGATTGGGTGATGGTAAAAATGGGTACAGAATGGGAAAGGAGGTGGTACTAGGTCTGTCTTACACTTCTACTTTGCCTATTTCCCCGCTTCGAGTCCATATGAAAGAGAATGGAAGCACAGTAAGCTTTGTTCACGTGTCCCTCACTGTGCTAGATGCTTCACACACACTGTTGTCACTTAATTTTCACTGCATTGTGTGATATATGCAGCAACTGTATTTTATATGTGAAAGTATACAAGTTGATAAACTTCTGATGCACAGACATTGTCTTTCCTAAGACAATGCTTTTTATTTTCATTTTTGTTTCATTCTGCTCAAGTCAGCGATGACTGCAGAGATATCTTTTATTCATTTATTTATTTTTTTAAAGTAAGTTGCCATCAATATGTATTCGGGCAAAAATTCTGCTTACCACTCATCAAAATTGTATAATGTCAGGGAAATAATAATCCTCAGGACTGGCTTTTCTAGCTATCATATATTTTTACATTCTCTGCAAGTTCTATCTGAAAACATGGACAATCCAGAAAAACTCATACAAATTGGATAGAAGAAAAAAATGGAATAAAATGAGAGCATCTTAACCTTATTGATTTTGCTTCTGGCCCACGAAATGCATAAAGAACCATCATAAGATGATCTTTGGAAAAAGTTTCTAATTATGGTTTGGATACAGATGTCGATGTACAGAATCTTTCTGCTTTAATAAACCATGCAAGTTATTTCAGGAGCAACAGTTAACTGCTACAGCTATTCTCCGGTTTCATAATTTCACATATATTTTTTTGGTTATAAGACATTTTTAAAAGGAACCAGCAAATGGTGCAGTGGTTTTATTACTGGACATCCACTTGGCCAACCGTGATTTGAGTCCCAGACCTGGCGGCTTGAAACTCACACCAGGCATGTGTGTGTGCATGCCCAAAATTCCAAGAGGACACTGGAGGAGAAGGATTGTAGAATGGCTATTCTCTCTGGAGGGTGATTTCTTGCTTTCTGTTTCTCTGGAGAGCACATATCCCTTAGAGCAAAAATCTATCTCTAAAAAACCCCCAAAAACCGAAAATAAAAAAATAAAAATTCTAACATACACAAAGGGAAAACTCAACATAACAAATGGCTAAGCAACTATCACTAAAACTGAACAGATGTTAACCTTTAGACTTTACTTACTTAAAAGTTCTCTTGTACCTAT